AACACAAAGAGGTGATGTAAAAGGCAGGATGTGAGTCAGAGTTCAGTCAGGTCAATCAGAACACCCCCTCCTTTAATTATTCATGTCTTAATGAAACTAGGTGAAACATTGATGAGCAGACCCCCTCTGTGTGTTTTCCTTCCCTGCTTTCAGATATGACTGACTCCACTTGCACCAATAATCTGCTCACTCACACACATCAGGACACACTTGCATCTTCATGAAGCTCAGCGAGAGCTGTAATTGAATACTGCAGCGATAGACCCTGTCTGGCCTGAAGATGGCTGTGTTTGTGTTTAAGTGAGCGTGGTTCTCATCGTTTATCCTCTCAGCGCGGCGCTCCATCTCTCGTAGTTCTGGTCCCTCAGACTGTCTGATTGCTTCCCCTTCTTTTGGGTTTACTTTTAGGAAGGACAAAGATGGCTCCCAGAAAATGAAACCCAAATTTGCAGCTGTGTACCTAGAGAGTGGTGATAGTGGCTCAAACATGCCCCCTGGGTCACAGAAGCACAATCTCAAGTTCTGCTAAAGACTCGGCAGGTATAAAAGTTACAGAGAACGACTCTGAGTTTCACGACTAAATGACTGAAGACCAGGAACACCACCTTTGTGGTTTAACCTATCCGCTGTAGTGTTCTAAAACCAGGAAGTTTGTATCCTGACTGTAGAATAGCAGCAATAAATAGGAACATGGTGTAACACTCATCTCTGCCGTTGACTAAAGTAACAGCAGTTTCCTGCTCCTCCGCTGGTTGAAAGCGGAATTACAACTGTTGTAAACAACCCTACTGTAGTTAGCGCTAACAACAAGCTAACACTAACATGAGTCATTTAAAATAAACCACAAAGTAAAAAGATGCACACCGTTGGGCAAAAAATATTATTACTAAGTGCAGTAGCAACAAAGCCAGGTTACCATCAGTCCGTGATTTTGTAGCCTCCTTTAGCATTTTCAAACTAGCATGAGCCACGTGATGTTCACTCTGGTTTTAGCTCTTTGCTCCACCTCCAAAGACATTACTTTTACATCCAGGCTCTGCCATGATGCCAATAGAAAAACAAACTTCTTCTTTTTCTTCTTCTTCTTGTGGTTTTTATTGATTATTGAAGAACTGAAAATGCTAACAGCTAGCATTACAGCTAACAGCCGTGAAGCAGGTAAAGAGCGCCCCGCAGGACACCAACTGTGCAGTTTTTAGTCAGCAGAGGGCTGCAGAGTTGTGTCAAACATGAACTGTTCAAGTTTCTAACTCACTGAGATCAACGTTAAACCTCTAGCCTGAAGTTTAAAAAACTTATCTTGTTACTTCAAACTTTTCCTGACACTCCTGCCCTCCTCTTTTGCTTCAACAGAGCAGCAGATTGCTCCTTTTCTCCATTTCTATTCTTAAAATGATGATACTGCTTGCTCTCAGAAGCAGATTTTCAATAAATTGCATACATATGTGTAGGTTTTCCTTTAAATCCCACATGAAAACTTATTTAAATTTGGGCACTCATGCAGAATAAAGTTTTTAAAGGGTTTGGTCGCTGAGAATCTGCTTCTGCTACATTAGGTCTCTGAGTTGTTTGACCCCATCGCCTGCTTTAGCCACAGAAATGAAATAGTTGGGGAAAAGGATCAAGTCAGACAATGCCTAACTCAATTACGTCACAGAACTCAGGGCCCTGCCCACCTTGGCTTGTAACCCCCCACCAAGGGTGGCCAGAGGTGGCCATGGACACCCCTAGAAAATTGCTGGCCCCCCAGGAAAAGCCAGAGTTAACAAATCATATTAATGTTCCGTCAAACCATATACTGATCTTGTTTATTCAAGACAAAATTGTAAAACAAAATAAAAATATTACAATGAACGAGTAAAGAAATAATCAGAATAAAAAAACATGTTTCTGCTGCTCACCATTTAAAAAAAAGTTTTTATCTCCATAGTTTTTTTTTTTGTTTGTTTGTTTTTGGGGGTTTTTAAACATAGAAACAGGTGAATTAACCTAAAAACAAATACATTTTTAAATTAAATCAGGGATAAAATTTTAAATAACTGAAATGTATATTTCTGAAATGTTTGTGTTTGTAAAATTTAACTTAAATGTTTTGGATACGTACTGTTATTTTAATCAAAACGAATAAAGGCGCAATGCAGCACATCACCACAGGCAAAATTCTCCCAGCGTTACCACAACAACCAATTTGGTACGCCACCTCAAAAATTTCTTTGGCCCCATCTGGCCACCCCTATCAAAATTTTCTGGAGGCGCCCCTGCCACCCACAGGAAGTAGAGAGCAGAGTACGTCTTGGCTAGTAGAAGCTAACCGTTAGCAATTCCTCAACATGGTGGAGTAACAGCAGTTTCCTGCTCCTCCGCCCTACTGGTTGAAAGTGGAATTACAACTGTTGTAAACAACCCTGCTGTAGTTAGCACTAACAACAAGCTAACACTAACATGAGTCATTTAAAATAAACCACAAAGTAAAAAGATCCACACCGTTGGGCAAAAAATATTATTACTAAGCGCAGTAGCAACAAAGTCAGGTCACCATCAGTCCGTGATTTTGTATCCTCCTTTACCTGATTGCGTTGCTGCTTTCTGATTAGCTGATCAGCCCTGACAGGGTTTCAGTGAGTTTCAATCTGAACCACGATGAAGCTGATCCTTTCACGTTTATCCAAATGAAAACTTCCGCCGTCTTGTCGGAATTCCTGACAAATCAGAGCAGGAGCGTCACCAACACCAGATCTGTCGAGATGACGCTAATCAGGGGTTTTATATTTGATCCCAAACATGAGGAGAGAATGCCAGGTTAGGGTTACATTTGGCCCAACATTCATGTTTCGTCGTGCAGAACATGTTTTACATCGATTTACTCGGACTTCCTGAATTATTTATTACCTGAACAATTCCTTTTTTCTGTATCCAGTCCAAATGCAGCCGGCTCTTCCTTCCACTCATAAATATTTTAAAACTGTGTTAGCTTTCACGTTTTTGCTGATTTTTCTTGTTTTGGCTGCTAAAATCTCTGTGGAGCCACACTATTTTTTTCTGTTTCAAGCTGAATTTTGAAGGATTGTTTTCTTCGTCTGAGGACGAGTTATTTTGTTCTTTTTCACCCTGGAAGTGTGTTTTTTAATTAATTTGTACATCTGATCTTATTGTATTATTTTCAGAGCCCTGTAGAGCAGTTCTTTGATGGATAAAAACCTCAAGTGGCTCAAACATTTGCAGAAATCTACACATCTGCTCTGCTCAATAAAGCAGAAAGCGGTAAATTTGAATTCCAGAGTATTTAGGAGAAGACTTTCATGCTTTAAAGGGAATCCGTTACACAGAAAACCCACAAAATCAAAAACTGAATAGATTTTAGATTTCTGCTCCCAGTTGCCTTTCTGCAGAGATCATAAATAAATCTGTCAGACCCTCACAGGATCGCAGAATCACTAATTTGGTCAGATAATCTTAATCATGAGTCCCGTTTGGAGACGGTCAGCTTAAGTGTTTGAAACCGTTGATTCAGTCGATCACACATGACTCAGATCTGCAGGCGACGCTCGATTCAAACGACCAGGCTGAGAAAATGCTGAACATTTCATTTCTTTATGTCTGCAGCAGCTTGGCAGCGGCCTCCTGCTGTTGTTAGCATCAGGTCTCCATAAAAGAGTCGACTTTATACAGAATTAAAGGAAAACTTTGATCTGTCTTGCATTTATTTTTTATTTTTTCTGCATAAAAACAGAAAAATTTTACTGAACTGGAAGTTTCTGACCTTCATCTCAGTTCATCATCACTTCATTATTCAGTTATAACTGAAACCCCACATTTATATTTTTGAAGTTTTTCACTTAACAAAAAATTATTAAACTAAAAAAGTTTCACAAATATGAAGATGTTTTAACAAAACTGTAGACACTTTTGTTGTTGTTTGTTTATATTTTTACTTTTTATTGTAAAACTCTTTTCCCCGAATGAGAAAATAGAAAAATAATGTTTTTTTTTTCTTTTTCACTTCAGTGTGAAAGTTGAGCAGTTTGGAGCCAAATAAATAAAACAAAAAAAGTAAAAGTTTTCGGAGCTGAAGGTATTTTTTTCATGCAGATTTTAGCCAAGAGGCCACAGGGGTCAAAGTTCACAAGGTTTCTCCAAATGACTGGTGACTGTTTGAAAATCACATCTGAGCGTTGGAAGATCAGCCACGAGTCTACACCCCTCTGGAGTTTTTCTGAACCCTTCGGAATAATCGCTTTGGGATGGGAGAGAGTTGTTTATTTGTTTGTTTGTTTGTTTTTCTGACTGACTAGTTTCCATTCCGCTGCCGTCTCTCCACATTCATCCGTTTGTTGATGCGAGCGCTGAGATGGGCGAGTTTCAGCAGACATCCTGGTATTTTAGCGCAGCTAACCCTCCTCCCCGTGCTGACGCAGCTCTCAACCTTTAACCCGGTCCCTTCCTGTTTGGTCCGTCGTGTTTTAAATGAAACTCGTTTGCTTCCCATCGAGTCTTTGACTAACGGGGTTTGATGGGTTAGTTAGGGTTAGTCTTGGTGATATTCGGAGACGCTCGGACCTGCAGCCTCAGCCTCTCTGGTCGTGTCCGCCTGCTGCCACATTTGTTTCTGACCTTTTCTTTGTTTCATTAAACGCTTCCGAGAGATCATTCTCTCCCAGAGGTAAGATCTGAAGTGATTTTATCTGAGCTCCCCTTTTGTTTTCTGCTCCTGCTTCCTGTTTTGGTGCTTTTACGTTTTTAGCGTCTGTGTGTGCACGTGACGCTGCATGTTTTGTTGTGATCCTTGATGCACTGTTTACAGTTTTAATGTGGAGATGTATGATTAAAGCGCAGATGCAGGTCTTCACCCCCTCAGTCTGGATGGAAGCAAACCGGATTTGTTTTCTAAATTTAGAATAAAAACATCTTTGTCGCTAATGTTCTGCAGCTTTGCAGGTTGCATCATGTTCCTGTTCAGATCCAGATCTTACACCTGTTTTCTGTCCTTTTCTTCTGTGCAGTTGATCAGAGCTTGTTTGAGAACTCCGTTGCTCAGCAGCAAAGTCCTCAAACCTTCAGAGCAAGTCAGTCCTCTGCCCGACGCTCTGCAGCATCGACCGCGTCAGGCATCGTCGAATCTCCGTCCTCCGGAGGACAGCAGAGGCTAAAGAATGCTATTAACCTGGGCAAGGCAGTTGGGGCAAAGGTACGTGCAACATCAGCTGATCTGGAGCTCCTGGTCCACGGGCCGGCTGTCCTAACTCGGGCGTTTCTTTCTGCTTTCCCTCTTTTTATTTGTTTGTTCCTCACAGGTCAATGACCTGCTGAGAAGGAAGGAGTCCAGCCACCTCGGGGACATCGGGGTCACAGAGGTCAACAAGAACGTTGGTGCTGTTTGGAGCTGCATGGACCAACTCAGCCAGACGTCGTCTAGCAGGTTGGTGCGCGCGCGCACGCACGCACACACACACACACACACACACAAACACACTTATGGAAAGAGCCAGCCAGCTCAGAATGTTTAGTTTGGGGATCATCTGCACCATTAAAGCTACGGTAGGAGTTCCTGGAAAAAGCTGCTTAAACAAGCTACATTTTGTAAAAGAATAATTAAAAGGTCCAGCCTCCTTAATTCAGGCCCCGCCTCCTAAGACTAAGCCATGCCCCCAGACCACAGGAGAATTCTGGAGTCAAAAAATGCTGTCAAACAACCGTAAAATCGCAGCATTATCTTAATTTTCTGAACTGTTGTTGGCACTTTTCTGCCGTAACCACATAACAGTTTAGTATGCGAGCTAATATAGGCAGCCTGGCTCTGGCTTTGCTTCCTGTTCAGCTGCTCCAAGCCAAGATTTGTGGGTTTCATTGATGAATCAGGATCCAATCATTAAAAATGGAACAGTCACAAAAATCGGATGAGGTTTTTCTAAGATAGTTTTAGAGGAAATTAGAATTGTTCCTTTTTTTGACTAAACGTTTAATTTTTTTGTTGCCATCTGTATCTAAAGAGCATTTCAAGCAATGTGACAAAAGAGGTTCCAAAGAAACATCTTCTACTGCGCCTGTGGGTTTCCATCAGGTGAAGTTCCGTTATCATATTCTCAAGTGAGAGTAGAACAACTGGGATGGATATAGAGCTCAAAGCAGGGAGCTGCTGCTCCTCCTCATCAAAAGAAGCCTATTGAGGTGGTCTGGGTATTTGATTCGCTCTCCATAGAAGGTGTCCCACTAGGAGTGCTAGTGTGGAGTCCTCGGGTCAGACTTGGATTTGCACATCTGGCCTGGAAATGAATAGCTGATGTGATGATCCCACTGTTACCCCGGTTTCACACTTCAAGCATCAGCGGAACGGAACGGCAGCGAAGCGGCACCGCTTCAAATAGAATCCAATTATAGTCTATGGAGTGTGGCGCGCGTCCCAGAAGCGGCATGCCGCGCCATGCTGCTAAAGATGAGATCGAGTTCTATTATTTCCGCGAGCCGCTTCTGGGACACGTCAGTTTCTGCAGTTCACATAGCGCGAGACAGGAAACCACACACGGTTTCAGTGTAAAATCCCCGGTTATTTTCAAAATAAAATATAACGTTGCAATGTTATATATAACTTACGTCAGCACGTGTGACCGAACGGCTTTGTTGACTGCCAGTTTCTTTCGAGAAGTGCAAAGGTGTGATTCCTCGCGGGGGTTGTGATCTCTCGATGAGGAAGGTGTCGGAAGTCTTGAGGGATGTTAGAATCTCGCGAGTACAGCGAGGCGCAGCGAGGAAGCCATGCCGCGGCCAAGACTCTCCCGGTGTGAAAGGATCGCTTTGAAGTTCGCGAGTGAGCCGCTCCGCTGCTGTTCCGCTGATGCTTGCAGTGTGAAACCGGGGTTAGTTGGGTACTGTTGGCTTTTACCAAAATCTGCTGAAACCTTCTCGATTTCCTTTTTCCGTTGACAGTATTCCTGGAGGGAACACATCCATCCCCTGAGTTGGAGGGAATAATGTCCAAACGTCCACATTACGTTAAATGAGACTTTTTTATCATTGAGGAATCTCGCGGTGACTTTATTCCGGAGTCGTTTAGTCAGCTTGGATAAGATTTTCCTCCTCGCACCGAACAGAACCAGGAAGACGTCTCTTTTGATCTCGGGATTCTGCAGGACCTCTGACGTCCAGAGCTGGGAGTCTTTGACGAGACTGCCGATCGACTCCGCTGTCGATGATGAAGCCGAGATGAGCCGAGGCGTGCAGAGGTCACGCAGCACCTCTCTGAGGTTTAGAAATGAAAACCTTTTTTTTATTATTGTAATAGAAAAATTCCTGCTCAGATCGCTCCTGGAAGCAGGAAAACTGAACTCACCTCATAAAACTCTCAGACTGTTTTTGTGTGTTCTTCCTCGCTGCTGCAGAAAATAACCCTCAGCAGGTTCTCGTTAGCACCTAAAACCGGTTCGGAGTCATCAGCTGGAGAACGTTTACTAATGTGAAGTAGCTTTGTGATTCCCTGACAGGAAGCAGGTTACTCTGGAAAATATGGCGGATTTTAGCCGAAAGGAAGATGAAACTAAAACAGGATTTTATCCCTTTTTCCTGCTTTTTCCTGAGCATCCACCCAGACTCTCTGTTTTCTTCTGTAAAAGTCTCCAGACGCCCCTCGGAGGAGAACCCCCCCCCCCCCCCCACCACCACCACCACCAGCTGGGCTTGGAGAAGACTCTGATCTCCTGATTTTGTTTGTTTGTTTGTTTGTTTCATCTCTGTGTTCCAGCGTCACTATTTGATTTTCTCCTCCTCTCTAGTCACATCACCTCCTTCGACTCCTTCCCTCGGCTCGAACCGCCGCCACCGACCGGGAAGAAGCGCCTCCCTCGAGCTCTGAAGACGACCGAGGACATGATGATCTCCTCCGATCCCGTGGTCTCCTCCCCAGACGCGACAGACTCCCCCTCCTTCCTGTCCTCGTCTGAGAAGACGCCGCCAGAGGAGACGAAGAGCGATGAGGATCGGCCGCTTGGAGACAAAGAAGAAGAGATATCGTCGGAGGTCCAACCATTGTTTGATCACGCTGATGACAAAGTTTCAGAGGTAGAAAAGTTAGGAGGAGTGACGGGAGAAGAGGAGGATGAGTTGGAAAAGGGGAGTAACGAAGGAGGAGTGGAGGAGCATCAGCTCCAGCTTTCTGTTCCAGACCTCATTAACAAGGATCCTCCGCTGGAGTCCATCTGGCAGAAGATGTCCTCGTCGGACTCCCGGCTGGCCTCCACCCCCCGCTCAGGGAAAACCGCCTGTCGCATCAGCCTGGGAGAGGAGGTGCTGCTGGGGAACGGCGCCCCCTGCAGCAAGGAGTCCGAAGACCTAGAGCCTCACCCGGACCTGCTGTCGTTTGAGTAGCTGGAACGCCTTTGAACACTGACCCGCTTCAGGGAACCGGTTCTTTTAGGGACCCGGGCTTCAGCTGGGCTGACCTGAAGCCGCTGGATTTAAACCGTAGATAACAACAAACAGGAGGCTTTATTTAGGTTAAACATTTAACACAAAAATCTAAATATATGTTAAAAAAAGCCGTATTTTTTGTATATTTTTCTTTAGCTTTTAAAAGTTTTTATGCTTCAGTAAAGCAAAGACATCCAGCATGATGAATGACGAATGTAAAACCACAATCAGATCCTTCAAATGGGTCAAAAACGTGTTCAACCATAAATCGCTTCGAGGCGTTTTTAAAGGGGTTTTATTATTAAATGTCGGTTAAAACAACTTCAGCGCTGCTGCGGTGACTCGATGGTTTTGGGAAGTTTCTCCTGTCTGGAAAACTTAAAGGAAAGGGGGAAGAAAGTGAGATTTGGACTTAAACTAGTATGTCGGATCACGGAAAGTTCAGGAAGGTTACAGTCAGTTTAGATGAGCTCTTATTTTGAAAGTGGCTTTTTTAATGCAAAAGTTAGATTTTTGTTCCAGTTTTTAGAAAAAAAAACATTTTCTAATTACTTTTAAAAAATTGCTCCATTTTAAATGAAATTTTTGCCTATTTTTGTTTCTAGAATTACTTTTTCGAACAGGAATTCATCTCTAAACATCTTTTGTACGTTCTTGCTGTGTTTGTCTTCAAATTCCATTTTTGGTTCTTTTGTAAACACAGATAAGGTTTTTTCTTTAGTTACTGATTACTTTGTCAAAAAAGTAACTCAGTTACTAACTGAGTTACAAGATCTTAGGTGTGTTCTTGCTGTGTCTTGTTTCTAATTCCATGCTATCGTTCTTTTTTAAAACACAGAAACGGTTTCGTTACCTGTTTTTTCGCTACGTTTCGCCTGCGGCTGCAGACTTCCTCAGGCTGACGCTGATGGTGGCGCGGCTGACACCATCTGGACCTGCAGCCTTGTTCCTGTTCAGTCTCTCCAGCTGCCTCTTCACCTGACTTCTAGAGACAGATAGGTGGGAGGGGGAGGTAAATGGGGCAGCAGCATTTCCTGACTTGGTTGAAGACAGATTTCTAGAACCAGAAAAGTCCATGACTGCGTTAGAGGACAAAAGAGCTGGCGTGTGACAGGAAAATGTTGGATCAGAGGAGGATGGGATGTCTGATTGGCTGGGGACAGGCGAGGAGGATGCTGGGTTTGTTCCTGAACTGAACCTATTGAAGAACTTGTTCAGTTCATTGGCTGTGTCCAGGCTGCCTTCTGTGCAATCCTTCCTCTGCTTGAAGCCTGTGATCTTTTTCATCCCTGACCAGACATCTCTGATATTGTTCCTCTGTAGTTTGTTCTCCAGCTTCTTCCTGTACGCCTCCTTGCCGTCTCTGTTCTTGATCTTCAGTTGTTTCTGTATACTCCTCAATAATTCCCTGACTCCCTCCTTGAAGGCTCTTTTTTTCTCATTTAGCAGATTCTTCAGTTCACTGGTGATCCAGGGTTTATTATTAGCGAAGCATCTCACTGTTCTGGTGGGTATGATGTTGTCCACACAGAAGTTTATATAGTCAGTGACACATCCAGTCATGGAATTGATGTCCTCTTCATATCTTTAGCAAGGTAAAGAAAAAACCTTATCTGTGTTTAAAAAAGAACCAAAAAAGGAATTCATCTCTTTTGTAAATGTGAACAAAACTATCTTGTTTTACTTCTAATCATGTGTTTAAAGCTAAGAATCTGCTGTTTTCTGCACTGAGCACCTGAGTCATTTGTGCAACAGACTGTGAAAAGTAAACAGCTGACCTGACACGACTTCCTGTTCCTCTCCGAAACGCCACGCAGTCGGGACAGGCAGATGTGAGGATGCGGCCTCATTAGGAAGACAGGAAGTTGATTTTTCAGCTAAGAAAAGGAGCGAGATCACGAGCTGTCAACAGAAAGAGATTAGAGCGTTTTATTCAAGCAGATTTTTAACTGACAGACCAAAGATGTAAATTAGCATCTCACCCAGACAAGTTGTTATTTTACACGTTTTTATTTGAAAGGTGGAAACCAAAGTCGAGACGTTTCTACTTTGTTTTGTTTCTTTAGACCAGCGGAGGTGAGTCAACAGGTCAAAGGTGAGCCTACATGAAAGGACAAGTTAATAAACCTATCTGATAGCTGCGTATCTGAGCAGGAGGATCTGGTTGCCACGGTAACCCCGGCTCAATCAAGGACAGCAAAGCAGTATCAGTATTGTTCAGATCTGTGCGTCCAGATTAGGAAGGGTTATTTTTAGGCTTTTGGAAGTAAAAGTAGGGTTTTAACAAAGAATCTCTGTGTTCTGCTAAAATGTCTGAAAGTTTCCAGACAGAAGCAGCTGAGAATGAGAGGAATGTGGAGTAGGTCTGCACGAATAAGGGATCTTTGTGTCCGTGGTCTGATGAATGGCCCGGCCCCACTGTGGGTCATTTTAGGAGCATTAATCATAAAACACATTAAGCTGCAGATGTTCCACCAGTTAGATCCTCCCACTAAGAAACAGCTGGGATTTGACACAACATGTCAGAAGGATGCTGTGAAACCTGACCCTGTCGGGGTCGTTCAGCTGCATCCTCCTGACAGATTTTTCTCTGGCTGCAATTGTCTGACACAAACACGAGTTCTGCAACTTTCCAGCTCCTGATGAAGATCAATAAAGTAAATTTAATCTACAAATCAAGTCAAAGATTATAAACTGATACCAGCTCACTTGTAAAAACAAGAGACACTATGATCAATTTTATTTTCTGCGTTTCTTAGATTTAAAAACGAAGTCAAAATGTTGAGAAAAAAGTCTAAATTCAAATTTTTATCTGTTTTCTGGTTTTAATTCTCACCACAACTGAGTTCTGATACATATTTACTGAGTGAATAATAAAATAACATGAAGCCTCTCCTCCTGCAGCACTAGCTTCCTTCAACCCTTCACAATAAAAGCTTCAGACATTCACATCTAGCTGAAAATATTCTCAAAACATCAAAAACCAGAGTTTATTTTGTTATTTATAATATCAAAGGGAATTCGTGTTGTTATTAACAGCTTTTATTTAACTGCAGATGCTGAAAGGCATTATGGGTATTTTAGGAAAGTGCTGCTTTACTTTGATTCCCTCTTTTAATCTTGTTTTTTTTAAGATGTGCTCATTTTTGTATTTTTATTACATTTGCAGCAGTTTAGTTGGAGTCGCACTCTGGGGGGAAAAGCTCCGCATGTTTCAGCGCGGAGAATCCAGCTAGCTAGCTTCAGACGGCAAGATTTAGTCTCACTTCCTGATATCTGGACATCTCTCCTCTGATTGGCTAACAGCAACACGACTCTACCACTGACTCTGTTTGCTCTGCAACGTTGATGTTTTATCTCCACAAATACCGCAAGCCTGGAGGAGTTCTGCTGTGAGGTGGAGCTGCTAATGCTAATGGTTAGCTTCTAGCTGGGACATTCTCTGTTGTTTCCTGGACACTAAACCAACAACAGCCTTCCCAGTCGTGAGTCCAGAACGGTGAGTCCATGAATGTTAACGTAATGTGTGACGTAGATCTGTCAGGATTTTCTAATCCTAGACTTTCACCGTCTGTTTTCTATCAGAAGCTGATGCAGGAGATAGGTGTAGGAGACTATTTTCATGTTTAGCCTAGATGTTAAACTCAGAGTGGCCCATTAGAATCAGAAACAATCACTTAAAGAGCAAGTCACCCCCAAATCAACTTTTTTTTTTGCTGATAAACTAAATAAACGAGTGTCTAATCGGGCTGCAGACACGTGTAGTCAATAATTTGGTACTTCAGTGCATCTTAGTTAAAATTAAAATATTCTGCCTAAAACTGTCAGTGTTGTGCCGTTGTCAGGTAAAAACTCTGCACTGTATTCTAATTTAAATCTGCCACCGCTATTGGCTAAGAGGTATGCTATGATGTAAACTGGTACATTATGATGTCACAATGCTGTCGTGAGCCTGTGTGTGTGTGTGTATTTGTTAGCGGCTCTGCCCTCTCGGTCTGCCTGGCAACAGCATTTGTTGCATTTTTCAAACATGAAGTGGGAGTGGAGTTAGACTCTGGTAGGGGGTGACTTGCTCTTTAAAGAGTAAGAGTCTGACTCCACTCCCACTTCCTGTTTGAAAAATGCAACAAATGCTGTTGCCTAGCAGACCGAGAGGGCCGAGCCGCTAACAAATACACACACACAGGCTCACAATGACATTGTGACATCATATGGTACCAGCTAACGTTCTAGGGTACCTCTTAGCCAATAGCGATGGCAGATTTAAATTCAAATGCAGTGCAGAGTTTTTACCTGACAACGGCACAACACTGACAGTTTTAGGCAGAACATTTAAATTTGAACTAAAATCCACTAAAGTGCAAAACTATTGACTACACGTGTCTGCAGCACGATTACACACGCGTTTATATAGTTTATCAGAAAAAAAGTTGATTTGGGGGTGACTTGCTCTTTAAGACGTTTTCTCAGTGAAAGACCTTTTTAAGTCACATTCATTCTTATTTTGACTTTATTGGCATTTTGATTTCATTCTCAACATTTTTACTTTAACATCAAATTAGGGAAACAAAAACGAGTCTCCCTTCCAGACAACAGAGGCGGTGTTAAAGAGCTTTCATGTTTCTGATTAAAAAACACTAAACTGTCCTTTTAAATAAAACTTTAGAGTGATTGAAACAGATTTGTTCAGTTTAAAGATCTTCACACGTGACCAAATGTCTTATTAAGGTGGATTTAATTTTGTTTTGTTTTTTTACACTTTTCATGTAAAACAACCAAAAACTTCTGTCTTGTTGTTTCTTTGCTGTCTGAACTGAAGAAAGTTCCTGTCGACTCAATTTAGCAAACAAACCCGATTTTCCTTTAACGAAAGCAATAATTCATCTCCTCAGAGAACCGGAAACAACCGGATGAAGTTTGCTGATGTAACAAATGAAGGAGCAGGATGTAGTTTTTTTATTCAGCCGTAGATTGTAGTTAGGATCCAGAGTTAGATTTATGAAACTGTATATTTTTATGAATTTGTTTTATTAAAGCCGGTCGACGTCATTTCTGCAATAATGAAGAATGAAGGAAACTCAAAGCTGCAGACTTTTTTTAACCAGAGATTATTTCAGATTATTTCGATGTAACAGAAACAAACTGAATCACTGCTTTAGGCTTTTATTTTCCTGTAAGTTCATTTTAATGAGAAAAGTAAATGATTTCCTGTGATGAAGTGTAATCTGATAAATTTAGATTTAATCAACTGTCTTGTTTTGTGTCGAGTGTTTTTTAACGTTACGTGTCGTAGGGATGTGGTTTGTCCCAGTCTGTGGAAATCCCGCTCTTCTTGGAAGTTGTCACCAGCATCGGTTTTCTGTTGCTCCTCAGAGCTGACAGAGGCGACGGCACCACGAGGCCATGTGTTCACGGAGCGATGTAAACAACCAGTCAGCTGGCGGGTCTTGTCCCTGTTTAATAATTCAAACATGCTCGTATCGATTCTCCGCTAAGGAATCTGGGCCTCCATGCATGGTGAATATCAACCGCTGGAAAGCTGCTCCTGTGTTTGCTAACGCGGAGCTGATCCAGAGATACGAGGGCAGAGAAACAGAAGCTCTCATCACGGTCCTCCAAAATCAAATAAAAACATGGAGCGAAACACTGACGTTACAGGATGACCTCAGCTAGGCCTCATCCTGGTCAGACCATGACTTGCCTCAGCTCCTCCGAGACGAGCTCCTCCCTATGGATCATTACACTCACCTGTGTTCTGAACCGCTTTTCCTCACTAGAGTCTCAGGGAGTTGGCGTCTAACTCCAGCGGTTACTGGACAAAAGGTGGAGGACATCTGAGACAGGTCTCTAGTCCATCGTAGGGACAGACGAACAGGACAAGTAGTCACTCACTCATATGTTTGTGAGTGTTAGTCTCCAGTTAACCTGACCTGCATGTTTTTGGTGTAAGGGAGGAAACCCACACATGCATGGGGAGAACATGCCAACTTCATTCAGAGAGGCTGCAGCCAGGATTTGAACCTTCAGCCTCCTTACGATCAGCTACTCCACCAGGCAGCGTGTCATCTGCCTGGGCAGCCCAAAGAAGCCGCCTCATTACAGCAGTCCAAATGTCTCGGCCCATCTCTGTCGCTTTCCACGTTTACGCAGCTGCTGTCTCAGACTTGTCTCTGAGCTCGGTGCACGTGCTTTATTATCAAGTAAAATGAAGACTGTGGGTTTTTTTTAAGTTTAGGTGTAAAAAAATCTTATTAGTTTCCACAAGTTGAGTTTTTTGAGGTTTAGGCTCCGGACTGAGTTCAGATCAGCTGGTGCATATTAGCCTCGTCCTTTAAAGGGGCAACATGTCCAAATTCCACTGTGGAATAATTACAAAACAATCTCAACTGTGTTGGAAGGAAAGTTATACTGAAACAGATTTCACTCTCAGACAGCTGGAGGGGTTGTCAGTTTATCTTTTTTTAAAAAGAAAGAAAGGAGGGACGTAGTTTTGTTTACACTCTGATGTTGCAAAGGCTGCACCGAGCTAACGCTGCAGGTTACCGATCTTTGTAGTCTGACAGCATCAGGCAAAAAGCTCCAAAGCTGTTTAAAGAACTAAAGCCAGTAAACAGGAGCGACCCAGAAATTATTTCTTTTACCCCAAGAAGCCACGGCATCTTTTTTTTTTTACTTAGGATTTTCTTTATAACATACAAAAAAAACTGTGAACAAGCAAACAAACGGTGGCTCAGACACCTGGATATTGCCAGTCAAATAATAAGCTGCTGGGCAGTGACAAAGAGAAAAGTCATTGATGCAGGAATGAATACACCAGACTACAGTGATTTAGTCTCTTCTAAATATGCGAGGAATGGATTCCAAGCGTTGGCAAACTTTCTCATTGAACACTTTCTTAGGGATCTGAGTCTGTCCATTTGTATTAAGGACAGCGTATCGGTGATCCATCCTTGAAAGCTGGGGGCAGTAGAATACTTCCATTCTTTCAAAATTAAGCATTTGGCGGCAGTTCCAGTTCCAGAGGTCTCAGCATAGATGCAAGGAGGTCCTTGACTGTTTGAGATGCCAAAGATGGCACGACCGGTCGAAGAGATGTCTTATAGGCCTTAGAGTACCAGTCAAATATTTTGCACCAAAAATTTGCTAGTAAAGAGCAGGACCAGAAAGAATGAGATAGTGTACCATCAAAAGTTTTGCATCTGTCACAAATTGGTGAGACAGAGAGGTAAATTTTATGCAACCTGACCTTAGAATAATGTAAACAATGGACAATTTTAAACTGTATGAGCTGGTGTCTACTGTTTACTGAACAAGAATGAATTTTAGACAAACACTCATCCCACACAGATTCAAGAAGTTCCATACCTAACTCCTCTCCCCAGGCATTTCTTATCTTAGTTGTACTTATATTAAAATGATCTTCAAACATGCAGACAATATTTGAAATTAAGTGTTTGGAGTCAGGAGAGCCTATAAGAATTTTAAATAACTCATGCTCTGCTGGGAGATGTTCAAAATGCCTAATTTTTGATTGAATATATTGCCTAACTTGTAAGTAACGAAAAAAAACTTGAATTGGATAGGTTATACTTTTTTTTCAGCTCATTAAACAAAGCAGATTTTCCATCCAGATAAAAATTTTCTATCGAGACTAAGCCCTTCCTTCTCCAGTCTCTGTAGCATTCGTCTGACCACGGGGTCAAAAAGGAATGGTTAAAGCATATAGCCTGTACAGAAGTTTCTGGCAAAGATAAGAAGCTCCTAACCTGATTTTAAATTCTGAGTGTTGCAAAACAAAACAACTCCTCCCAAGTGCTTTCGGTTTATCAAATTTAGAAAAGAGCATTGCTGGTAAGGAGGAGCTAACAGGGATGGCTTTCATTTTAAGCCACAAGGGGGCCCTTGAGGTCAGATTATCTCTGTTTACCTGCTGCCACAACATCAGAATCCTGACGTTGGCAGCCCAGTAGTAATATCTGAAGACTGGCATGCCAAGACCTCCCCTCAGTTTGGACTTTTGCAAATGCGCTCTCGAAATTCTGGGTCTCTTGTTTTTCCAAATGTAAGAAACAATAATGGAGTCTAGCTCTTTAAAAATGCAGAGATAAGAAAATTTGGGAGATTTTGACACATATAAAGAAGCCTGGGCAGAGAGATAATCTTGATAGAATTAATACGGCCGATCATTGATAAGGGTAATAGTTTCCAGCACATATTTTGTTTATGTTTTAGTAAAAAATCTGCAAAGTTTAATTGAAATATTAATTTTGGTATAGTCAAACCTAGATAACTTAGGTGTTCAGTAACAATTTTGAATGGCATGTTCTCAAGAAAACCTGGTGAATACGTTGTAGAGAGAGGCAGAAAATCACTTTTTGGCCAGTTGATTGTGCATCCAGATATACTGCCAAATGAGTTTATAACTTCAAGGATAGGAACTGACTCCTCAGAATCCCAAAGGTACATTACCACGTCATCAGCGTATAAACTGAGTGCTTCCACCCCCCACCCCCCAATTAGGAGACCCCTGAGCCAGACACATGGGTGCTGTCTTATTTTTACCGCTAGAGGCTCTAGGGCGATGGCAAAAAGAGCTGGAGAGAGAGGGCAACCATGTTGAACCAAACGTTGTAAAGGAAATGGGACTGACCTGTCGCCATTAGTCAGAACAGAACATGAAGGGTGGCATATATCAGCTTTACCCAAGATATAAACGTTTCGCCAAATCCGAATCGACTCAATGACTCAAAAATATAAGGCCACTCAACCTGGTCAAAAGCTTTGTGCACATCAAGTGATAGAATCACTGCTCCGTTAACACCCCCATGGTCAGCATACATTACATTATTCCATCGGTTGTTGTCTGCTGCGGCGCAGAATCAACTCCTTCACCTGGAAATGATGGATCCTGTCCAGAATGGTGTGGGGTTTTGTGCCCACCCCTGGTTTGGGCTGCAGGGAACGATGCGCACGGTCAACTTTCACTGGGCGCGGGAAGAGCTCCTTACCCAGCAGCTCTGGGATCAGCCTGGACACAAAATCAGTTGGGCTTCCCTCCTCTGACCCTTCCTTTATGCCGACAGTCTTTAAATTGTGCCTGCGGGAGCGAGCCTCCAGATCTAGTATTTTGCTTTGGAGTTGGCCAGCATGCTCTTCCAGCTCCTTATACTTAGCTTCGAGTTCCCCCATATCCATACATCCAGGGTGCTGGTAGCCTGCTCCTGGCCAGTCATGCGTTGTTGCAAGTCGGCTTGTGCTTCAAAAAGAGTCTGAAACTTTGTTTCAAAAGCATCAAAACGTTGGTTTATCACATGCAAAATGTTGTCCAACATGTCCTTGCCGATCTCCTTGCACAATTCATACGTGTCAGCTTCTTGAGACGGGGGGTGTTTGCTGCGGTCTCCATCACCGCTTGCATTAGCACTGTTAGCTGCGCTAATGTAGTCCTCCATGGTCCGCGCTTTGTTAGAGGTGCTTGGCTTCAGCAATGTTCACGGTCACGATGAGCAGCTTTAGGTAGGCGAGTCGCCCCGGGATATGAGCTGGTAAGGTAAATATAACGTGGTGGAAGCATAGTTTATCAAGTTTGAGGTCGGAGCATAAGCTAAACACGTCTACATACTTAGTGTGCTCACTAGCACCCCCCGTAACTTTTAGCCATGGCATCTTTTTGTTTTACTCTTATATCAGGTGAAGCAGGCTAGAGGCTAACGTTGAGCTAACAATGCTAATGGTGAATTAGAAAAATTATCTGCTCTAAAAAAACAGCTCAAGCTACTTTTTGAATGACAACTCGATTACAAGCTAACAGTGGCCCGTGTGCTACTACTAGTTCACCTGTTGAATTAATTATAGATTCACGAAGATAAAGATAATAAGGTTTATCTGTTACTAAATAGAATATTTTCTAAGCAATCACATTGTAGCCATAGAAACACCACTTGGTAATATAGGTATCATCTAGAATCTTCTGAGTCTGATCTGTAACTGGCAACAGCCGTGAAACTCTTGGAATGGCTGTGAGAAAGAGATTTTTTGTTTATAGCAAGAGACTGCAGTAACATGATTTGACCACAAGGTGTCACCCCAAAATTCCACTATCTCCGCTCCGCTCTGGCACGAACTCCGCAGCAAAAACGGTCCCGTTGTAGTCAATCAGAGCCGTTCCACTACTGCGGCCGTGCGGCGCAGTGCGCCGCCTGCCATCTGGCAAAAATAGGATCGATTCTATTTTTGCTGGACGCCGGAG